AGTGGTCAAACTCTGATGATTATCTAGATAATCTGCAGACAAAGGCTAGCTCTCCAAACCGCCAAGCCTATACATTTAGAGTCTGGCCTAGCTAGTAGTCCCAGACCTACACGGAGTAGGTTCCATACTGGAATGCGACATTTGAAGAGAGGAGACGCTGTTTGTTTTGGGATGCCGAGTTCAGGACGAAGGGCTCGACTTTGATTCCGATCGCAGCCCAAAGCAGTTCTCATTTACGCACTTCAGCAACTCGAACACACGATTCCACAACGCACCCCGAAATCTGTACGTCCATCAGATAATTGCACATCAAACCCAGCTGGAAACGCTAACTCTGCCAAGGTAGCTCTTGCAGCCCGCCAAACTCTGATGGAAATGATAATTCGGCGGCCGTCGGCGTGCCGTCTCTCAGTATATAAGCCCGTGCTTCTCCCGCTGGAATCCCTCAGTTCACCTTCTCCACTCGTTAATCACACTCACAATGACCAAGTTCTCTGCTGTCGCCATTGCCGCCGTCCTGGCCTCCGTTGCTGTTGCCGCTCCCTCTCCTCAGGACACTGCCACCTACCAGTGCCATGCTACCTGCGGTAACATGATCCTCGACGCCCGAAAGTGCGCCCAGGGCGACTCCTACGACAAGTCCTGTCTGTGTGACGACGGCACTCCCTTCCACGATGCCCTGGACCCCTGCCTGGACTGTGGCTCCACTCTCTGGAGCGACTACGGCAAGTACCTGGAGCCTCCTCTCCAGTTCTGCGGCTTCCCCACCCAGCCCAAGCAGCAGAACGCCTCTGCCCAGTCCTCTGCCGCTCCCGCCTCCTCTGCCGCTGCTGAGACCTCTGCGCCCGCTTCTTCGGCCGCTGCCTCTTCTGCTCCTGCCTCCTCCGCTGCTCCCGCTTCCTCCGAGGCCAAGCCCGAGTCTTCTGCTGCTCCCGCTCCTGCCTCCTCTGAGGCCCCCAAGGAGACCTCTGCCGCCGAGTCCAAGCCCGCTTCTTCTGCTGCCGAGTCCAAGCCTGCCTCTTCCGCTGCCGCTTCCTCCGCTGCTCCCTCCAAGACCGAGGAGAAGCCCGCTGCCACCTCTGCCGCTGCCTCTTCTGCTGCTCAGGCCTCTGCCTCCGGCTCTGCTCCTCCCCAGGCTAACGCTGGTTCGAAGGCCTCCTACGCCGTCGGTGTCGCTGGTGCCGCTCTCGTTGCCGCTCTCATCTAAGCAACCTCCATCCCGGCCGTCTGGCCTCTGTAACGACGTAATGATAACTCTTAATTAATAAATGTAGGTCTTCCTAGCCACACAACCGTAGCCTCGGAAGTGGCTGCAGCCACGCGAAAAGCTCGAGGAGTTCAAAAACGTTCGATACGAGCCCTGATGCGTCTCGCGATGAACTCCCCGGACGAATTGGACCCTGCGATCGGCGAATAACCACTTGCTTCCACCCTGCTCTGTCTCAAACATGCAACAAGCCCAAAAGAGTCACACACTAGCCAGAAGAAAAAGAAAAAAGAAAAGAAACCAGGCCTAGCAAACTCAATTGGCCTCTGTGATCCCCCCAAGATTATCTGATCGGCCCACATGGGCAAGGCGCAACTTTATGATCCGCATGCTTTCAAGCCAAACCCAAACCATTGCTCTTCTCCGGGACTAACGAGACAGAAGCTTCAAAAATTTCACTCGTTGAGCCACTGACATGTTGCAGGACGCTCAATTTCTCGGTTACTTGATCACACGAGCTCCAGAGCTACTCTCTTCTTCTGCAACCTCCTGGAATGTATAGACTCGTCCACGCCAAGACCAAGTTGTTACATTGGGAAAACGCATGGGCGTATAATTGTTGTGCCTACAAGCAGTACCGCGGCTATTTCGGCTATTTGATGCAGCGTACATACAGTGCGCGCTTCCGCTGAAACGCGCTGTTGCTGTGGAACCATAAGCAGATGCCCATGCTAGATGATCGAGATAAGCAGATTGTTGATTATAAATATATGCGGAAACAGGAATGACTATTTCAGCTGCTGTGGAAGTCCCAGTGGATAATTGGACCTAATGGCAAAAAATAAAAAAGTGGACGACACCGGAATCGAACCGGGGACCTCGCGCATGCTAAGCGCATGTGATAACCAACTACACCAGACGCCCAAATTTATGAAAATACGCTAATTTTCTGCATATACTATCTAAATAATATAATTTAAAAAAACCTTATTCAATAATTCTCTCATATCGGATTTATAGGCCTAGTACACACTGGAATCGAATGATCTTATCACGAGTTCACCACACTGAGTATGAACTCCAATTATCTACCCTTTTTTCTCCGGTTTTCTCGCATTTTGCGCTTTTTTCTCCAGGTTTCTGTAACCTCGCAAACTGTAATGGAAATAACTCAGAATCGGATATAATGTTGGAAATACCACTCGAGTTTCACCCTCAGTTATCCTCCGACATATTCCATGACCGCCGAGAGTTTTGAGCTGGACCACGAGGCTCGGGTCAACCGACTCCTCAATGCCTCTTCCAACGAGAGCCGAGAGGCTCTATCCGATGATATCCTCACCTTGATGATTAAAGACGCCTCTACGGCCCATGCTGCTATTAGCGGGGACCCCTCAGACCCAGAAGAAATGGCCGAGTCTTTTTTGAAAACCACAAAGCGAGGACCCCTTGCTCCAAGGCATTATGGCAGCAGGTTCACCAACGTGCCTGTCTTGCTGTACCTGCAGCTATGTTGGGAAGAGGTGAAGGAATCCATGCCGGAGCTCGATCAACACGGCATGATAGACTTCATCACTCTGGTTCTGGCTGAATTAGTTCCCGAGGATATGCAGGATCAAGTCGCAAGGCTGAAGTCTGATTCCTGGGTGGCTCTCAAAGCCAAAATTTGTGCCATGTTTGAACGCGAGGGTGTTGACACGGGTTCGGACTTTGTCTTCACAGACTACTTCAGCCACTGGCAGCCCATTGAAGGTCCTCTGTTTCTTTCCTGCGCTGCTCTCATGTCTGAGCTGCTCGCTTGTCCGATGGGTATTCCAGGACTCGCCCTGCAGATGGCTTGTGACCATTTGGCAAAGGAGAAGAACTACCCTCAGTTGGCAAAGGATGCTGAGAGATATATTGAGAGCCACGTTCCAAGAAACAAGCAGACTCTGGAGACCAACCGAGCCTTTGCTTCTTGTCTGGGAGCATACGTTGGAAGAAAGCAGCGAGGGCTGAACAGTGAATAGGGTATATTAGATATAAATATAGCGGATATAATGGTAGAAAGATAGTGTGTATAGTCAGCGTTGTGTTATATATCAAAGTCTCCAGGGGTCTTGCAAGTCAGCGACCAACAGGGCAGCAGATGCAGACTTCTTGCTAGTAATCTCGGCATTGAAGACGTCCAGAAGATGATATATCGGCGATAAAGACGTGCAAGTAATTCCGACAGGTTTTTCACATCTTGTGCTCTAGAATGGTATAATCCTTTGCCAATTTACTAACCGACTGTGATTTCCCAGTGTCAGGTTTTAGTACCGTACTTTATGCCATAAAGTAAGCCTCTCTATAAATTTAAAGGTGTCTACAAAGAGCTATGTTCATCCCAGAGACTTGCGGGTAGAACCAAAAGACTTGTATTACCAAAGACTTTAATATAATGTACTATATTACCACTATTGAGACTCCTTGGTGCTTTTCCAGGATTTTTTCTGATAGTTTATGCGGAGGAAAAAGGCAACAGCAGACGAAATATTAGTTCTGGAGATTTGATATGGTAATACAGGATTCATCTGATTCGTAGCGTCACAATGGTATCCTCTTTTCTTTCTTATTATGACAGACTAATCTTTACCAATAGAAACTAGATTTTTAGGAAAATTGAAACAAAGATATCTCGAGATTGATTCATATCAGAGACTTCAACGTAGTACCAAGAGATTTGTCGCGTTCTGGGATTTCGTGAGACAAAGAATATTTTCTTTGATAGTGACCGTTTGCGTCTCCAGGCTCTTTTTCCAGTATTCCCGACACTAAAGACGTCAAGAAGATGACACATTGGCGATAGAGACGTGAACGCAACCCCAACTGGTTATTCATATCTTGATCTCTAGATTGAAATAATCCTTTACCTGTTTCTCTGTCAGACTGCGATACATGAGTATCTGGCTTTAGTCGCGTAGTTTATGCCATAAAGAACGTACCGGTAGTTTCAAACTAAGTAGGTAGTTTATGCCATGAATTAGATAGTTTTAAAGTACCTGGCGGTACTGTACAGTAATTTGCAGCTATAATAACAGATATGGTCTTGTGATTGCACAAATGAGCATCGTCAGGTGTCTACTTTTGTTGCTTTCACTCAGAGATTGTTACAGACTGTTGGGAAATGCTAGTACACAAGGAATGAAATTACATGGTATAGGGATTTCTAGCAACATATGAATCTAAATTCTTCATGAACAACTCGTGAGGATCTGTATTTGTAGCCACAAGGGTACTGGTACTAGGTGTTATGCCAGTGTGAATGGCTGGACTGGGTGACAAGTTAGACGAAGCACAAGTTAGAAGAATATTAACTTACAGATTTGCTAATTCCATCTCAAAATGTGTTTGCAGATGTTTCAGCCCCACATATTGCTCTGGTAATTGATTATGAGCGGCGTTATTAAGGGCTGAAAAGCGGTGTAAAACATTGGTCAAGTAACAGTCAAGTACGACATGAAAAGTGTAATAGAAGACATAGGAATACTCTATTACGTTCTGGTAATACAACTTATCTCGTTGATTTGTTCTTTGGCTTCTTTATAACGTCTTTAGGATGGTTCCATCACTCGGGGGTCAATTTTGGTGATTTCAAACACAATTTTATTGACGCACGATAATCTAGTAACTAATAAATTTTGAAAACATGAATAATTAAGTGTATATTAACAACTTGGAATTGTTAAATGTCCACTTTTCGCAAAATTCGGCGAAATTTTACTTCTTTACGCTCTTGTTGAAAGTTCACTTTTTTAGAGCACCGTTCCACGCGCCGATGGTTTAGTGGTAAAATCCATCGTTGCCATCGATGGGCCCCCGGTTCGATTCCGGGTCGGCGCAATTCGGTTACGGCCATATCCTGGTGAAAATACGGCTTCCCGTCCGATCAGCCATAGTCAAGCACCTGAGAGCCTAGTTAGTATTGTAGTGGGAGACCATACGAGAATCCTGGGTGCTGTAATCTTTTTTATCTTTTTCACGTCTTGTCTTTGACACCCCATACAATTGTGGCGTCTTGATTGACAATTTACAGCTTTCTAGGTCTTCTCATGACCCAACAGGCAAGTCCAAGGCTTGTTTTTGTTCCTCCTTGAGAAGAGAGGACAGGAAAACCCACGCTTGTGTTTCCATTTACTTGTACTTGTATATTACAAGTACTCCAAAAAATGCCTGACGATTTTATCGCCATATTCATACAAATTAATCCGCCTTAATCAACCCACCTGTTCGAAACATAATTACACCATACAAGTACAACTAATTTATCAACATTCTTGCAAAACTTTAATGAGAAACATCAGACCAGAATCATACGGCCTAGACATCTTGAATTTGACAATAAAAAGTTGTTGCATGTAGAGACAAGCTGAATAATAACAAACATATCAAAATTTCTGCATCAAAAGCTCTCAATATCTGCCTGAGACACGTTCACTATTTCGGCAAGCCCCATCATCAAAACCTCATAAAACCTTATTGCGACCGGGTAACGCCCCCAAAATATAATATAGAATCTTGCGCAAACATCTCTTCTTCATCCACACGACAACTCGACACCCAGCGACAAGAAAACTACTCGACCCGTCAAACACCGTACTCGTATCGTATCAAGTGGTATTATTGTAGTACAGTATTTTGCCCTCAGCTTTTTTTGACGCACACACAAAACAACCCCCGACACACACAAACACAAATGTCATCGGCAGTGGAAACTGAATTCGAGGCGCTTTTGGCATCCATGTTGGTGGCAAAGGCCCCGGGAGTGTCCGGCTCCAAGATTAACGGAATTCGAGACTTGGCCATGAAGAACGTTGATGTGAGTATATGACTCTTGTGGCGACCGGTAGCTCGTATGGTATATATGGAGGGTGCAACAACAACGTATGGAGGAGCTGAGAAACGACAATCTCTACGCAACACGTGATATCTGTGTTCTATTGTATGAACCGGCGACTATCAAGCTGCTGTTTGATTGTCGCGGTTGTCTATTTAACATGTGTCCAAGCCGCCTTTTCCGATGATACCCCCTATCTGTTCTTAAGTGGAGGTGCCCCTCTTCTACAATACAAAAACCACCGTTATTTCTCCGTTCTTGCAGTAAAACACGCGCAGTAGAACACGTACCGTAACAGTCGTACGTCGGATGCTCTACAATGTAACCGAACTGAGGAGGTGTCTTTGCAAGTTGAACTTCAAGGCTTTTTGTCGCCAGTATCGCGAGGAAAGTGTTGAACTTCAAGCTCATTTTGTCGCCAGTATCGCGAGGAAGTGTTGAATGTGAACTTCAAGGCTTTATCGCCAGTATCGCGAGGAAGTGTTGAATGTGAACTTCAAGGCCAGTATCGCGAGAAAAAGTGTTGAATGTTCGTTGCTGCTCCTGACCGTCCGTAAGACCCCTACCGCTAACCGTAACCCGTAATTACGTATTACTAACCCAGATGGAATCCACGCTCATCCCCCTGCTCGAGCGGCATCTCAGCAAGACGCCTCTGAGCCACAAGCTCGGCGCCATGTACGTTCTGGACGCCGTGGCGCGAGCGTACCAGGAGGAGAACAAGAAGGTCGGACATGCGCTCAACCCCCAGGCTCCCGAGGGCTCCTACGCCAAGGGTCTGTTCCGCATCTCCGAGTTTGTCGAGAAGGCTGCGCGCGAGTCGGTCGACCATACTTCGTCCGACGATACTCGAGACAAGCTGGACAAGCTGGTGGAGATCTGGCAGAAGGCCGGCACCTTTCCTCCGGGCTCGATGCAGCGCATGCGCGGCGTCTTCAGCATGTCCAAGACCCCCGAGCACTCGCCTCCCTCGCAGCTGCTGGATCTCGTGAGCCAGGGCCAGCCTCCCGTTGCTGCTCCTGCTGCAAACAACGCTGCTGCTGCGCTTGCTGCTGTTCTTGGAGGTGCTCCTGCTGCTCCTGCTGCTCCCGCTGTTCCTACAGACACGGCCTCGATCCTCCAGGCTCTGGCGAGCATGAACGCTGGTTCTGGAGCTCCTGCCCCTGCTCCTGCTGCCAACCCCAACGCTGCGGCCGACGTGCTCAAGATGATCATGGCCCAGTCTGGCGGAGGCGCACCTACCATGCCTGGAGCTGATGTTTCGCAGGCCTGGAACCTCCCTTCGCGAGACACGCGAGACCCGCGAGACAACTTCCGGGATCGCAGCCGAGAGTTCCGCGACCGAGATCCGCGGGACCGAGATCCTCGAGACCGCGACTTTGGCCGAGACCGCAACTACCGCGACCGATCCGGCGACCGCAACGACTTTGGACGAGGCGGAGACCGAGACCGCGAGTTTGGCCGGGGCGGACGAAACAGACAGCCTCCCGGAACAGACACCTTCGAGGACGACGCTCCTCCGCCCACCGAGAAGAAGGTGTCGTACGACAACTCGCTGCCGCAGGGAACCATCAAGGTGCTGTCGCGAACCATCTTCATTGGCGGCGTGACCATGTCCACCACCAACGAGGAGCTGCTGTCGATTCTGCGGCCCTACGGAAGAACCCAGTCGCTGGTCATGCACCGCGAGCGCAAGCACGCCTTCTGCAAGATGTACACGCGGGCCGAGGCCGAGGCCGTGCTCCAGAACTTCACGCGACTCAACCAGCAGGGCAGCATCACCCTGCGAGCGCGCTGGGGAGTCGGCTTCGGTCCCCGAGACTGCTCCAACTACCAGACCGGCATCTCCATCATCCCCATCGGCACGCTGACCGAGGCGGACATGAAGTGGGTCGTCACTGCTCCCTACGGCGGAACTGGCGGAGTCCCCGTTGCTCCTGGCATGGTCATCGAGGAGCCCGATATCGAGGTCGGCACGGGCGTGTCTTCCAAGGCCAAGTCCAAGCGAATGCCCACGAACGCTGGCGGCCGAAACGGACCCCGATCTTCCTTCCCTGACCGAGACGGCGGCTTTGAGCGAGACGGAGGCCGAGACGGAGGCCGAGGCGGCTACGGAGGCGACCGAGGCGGATATGGCGGAGGATACGGCGGCGGAAACTACAGCGGCAACGCCAACCACACTCCCGTGGGCGTGCGATCGCCTGCTCCCGCGCCGCAGGTCAACGCGACCCAGATGGACGCCAACGCGGCGCTGGCTGCGCTTTTCCCCAACGGCATTCCCTCCATGGGCGGCTTTCCTCCTCAGCAGTAGAGGAGCAGTAGCAGGAGACGAGGAGTCGTAGCAGGAGACGAGGAGTCGTAGCAGGAGACGTTGGAGACTCGGCAGTAGACTGAGAGTAAATAAAATGTATGTATAGATTAATGAATATATGATAATTGATGTGGTAGACGAAGTGTGGATAGTCTTTCTAATTCTCCTAGCTTAAGAATGGTCAAGCATCTACTCCTTGGTTGTGTCTGTCTACAGTATGTACTATAAGACGATCATATCATAGTAATACTACAAGTAGTTGGAGAAAAAAGCGCAGTAAAAGCAAAAGACAGTAATGGAAAAGAAATACTAGATAAAAAATGACATCGAAAATAGCCATCAAGGTGACGTCTAAAATAGCCACCAAACTACTCCCCGATTTCTATATCGTACATCACCACCCAAATAAAGTTCACGGCCAATATCAACGAACATCCCGGACTCTCAACCACAACATGTCTAAACCAATCAACACCCAGCAGTCGTTGCCCGTGAGCTCGGCGCCCAACTACTTCAAGAGCCAGTCGGTGCTGTCGTACCAGGAAAAAGACGTCAAGCAGGGCGGTTCGTCTCCCTCGTCATTGATCAAGGGCATCGCCTGGAACAGCACAGGCACCCGAATTGCCGTGGCATACGGCGATGCTCGCATCCGAGTGTGGATCAGCGGCAACACCGAGGTCAACACGTCGACAGAAATCCCCTACTCGTCCAGCAAGGCCCGAAAGGCGGTTACAGGACTGGCATGGTCGCCCATCAGCCCCGATCAGCTCGTCACTTGCAGCCTGGATGGAACGCTCAAGGTGTGGGACACAAAGACAAAGACGCTGCTGGCGTCCGTGAGCACGGGCGCAGACAACCTGGGCTGCTGGTGGTCCCCCTGTGGCAAGTACATTTCCGTTCTGCGGAAAGACAATGTCATCATGTGGTATGCGCCCACTTTCAGCGGCGAAGTTGCCGAACCAGTGCCCGCAACGAAACCTGGCGGGCGCCAGAACGGAGGACGGGACTCGCAGCGGTCTCGGGGAGCTCCCCAGCTCGCTATTGGCTCTTCAACAGCCTTCGGAGAGCCCATTGCGGCCTACAAGGAGGTGCCATACGACATTTTCGCGGCAACCTGGACAAACACAACCAAGGTGATGGCCATCACGCTGGGAACGGGCATGGTGAAGCTGCTGAAACTGGATCTTGAGAACCCTGCGTCTCCGGAGGAGGTGGAAAAAGTCGCTACCTCGCCCACGCTTGGAAGCACCGCCAACGTTTCGCATCTGTTCCAGCTCTCGGGACACACCACAGCCGCCAACTGCGTCAAGCCGGATCCCCAGGGAAGGTACATTGCTGTTGGAGGAAACGAAGGCATCGTCTCGTTGTGGGACACCAAGGAGCTGGTGTGTGTCAAGACGCTGTCTAAGCACGACCAGCGGGTCGTTTCGCTCGACTTTTCGCATGACGGAGACTACATTGCTGTGGGCTACGACAACACGGAGGTCCCCGTGGACATTGTTCACGTCGACTCTGGGGAGTTTGTGCACGCCGTTTCGCGTCCGAGATGGTCGGGCGTTCCGCATGTGGCCTGGAGTCCTGTCAAGTTCAACCTGGCCTTCACGGAGGACGCCACGGGTCTCAATGTGATTACCGTAGGTGGCAGCAGACCCAGTGGATATTAGGTATGTACGAAGTGAGGGAGGACAATAGTCA